TGCAATCCAGAAAATGTTTTAAATAGGTGTTTGTTCAATTACTAGAGAAGAGATATGCACATACTCAGTAAAAGAAAATTTATCGTGTTATCACTTTAATACATTACTGTTAAGGACACTTATGAGTATGCATTTTATCATATCATATCATTCATGTCATTATCTATGCACCCATGATATCTTATTCCATGCTCATACATATAGGATCGCCCGAAGGAGTAACCCTACTTGAATTCAAAGAAGAGGCGGAGGAGAACCAGGAGACACCACAACCAGTAGCTCCTGAAGGCGAGGAGCCAGATACTGAGGAACTTCTAGAGTGCCCTGACCACCGACCCACTTCTTTCCTGAAAGGCAAGCCCCGGTGCATTATAAGCCTCCTATGTTTTATAAAATATCACTTGAGTCCTTTATGTTTGATGCATTAGGTTATAAGAGTTGATTGGAAACACTTGATGCATAGAGCTACCTTGTCTAGAAATATACCTTGAATCCTATCTAGGTCTAGGATCAAATAACTGCTTAGCAATGCTTAGCTCGGTAGAAGTCTGGTGATTTCCTGTCACCTGCGAGATATAGGTGGACACTGAACCACGGTTGGCTATATTTGCTATCGTGTAAAAGAACCATGGGAGGTTGTAAATTGAGGTTGGATGAATTCTATGTTGTGGGTTGACTCATGTGATTACGTCTGCGCTGATTAAGGACCGCATCGTTGTTGGTCCTTGGTCATTTTGAATGCATGCCTCTCACTTAGCTGGCCGGATAACTCGTTCCGACCGTGAAGCCGAGTAGCTCAACTCAGGCCGGGCCTCATTCTGTCAAAGTGCGCACACTTGAGGAGGTAGTAAGGATTTGTGGGGAGCTGGTGTGAGGCCAAGGGCTGGTTAGAGTCCTGATTGACCAAGCATCCGGTAGTGTCCCTGAGGATGCGTCGCTGATCGAACCCGCGAATTGGACCTGAGTTGTACCAAAGGTGACCTACGGCTACCGTGGCTGGTAGACCTAGGTTTGTGTTAGGAATATTGCCTAGCTGGTTGCAATTGATTCGAATCGCCGTCTCTCCCGGATAGTGAGAAACTTGACTGAGCTTCCTTCTATAGTAGTGATAATGGCAAGTAGAATGGTTCTGAGAATGATATAATAAATTGCTATGGTTACTATTGTTCTGTCACTACGGATATACCACATGTTTGGCATAGGTTAGTTGCTAATCTAGAGATGAATTGCTATAATTAACTTGATGACCGAATTATAAAATGTATAGCTGAATTAGTGGCTTTTTATGCAAAATGTTGTCAAGCTAGCTCCACTTATAAAGCCTTGCATGATCCTTGGAGTCACTCAATTTTTAGTTTATGACGGGTAAGTCTAGCTGAGTACCTTCTTGTACTAAGGGTTTATTTCCCACTTGTTGCAGATAACACTATTTATCATGGCTACTATAAGAACTATTTCTGTTCCATGGTGGACAAGGAGTAGGCCAGGGCAAGGCGCTTCCATTTATATATCTAATCTATGATGCTTTTGTGGGTTGTGATCACAGACTAGCAAGTATTTGAACCATGGTGTGAGGTGTTGGTTTAAAAACTACTTAGCTTCCGCTACTACTTTATTTGAACTTGGTTTGTAATAACTTCAATCGCACTCTAATGTATGGCAATGTATTTGTGAACTCTATGTAACATGTGGCATGTATGTTGAATCATGTACGATCTTGGTTGTATGTTTGCGACGAATCGAGACCCTTCATGGTACTCGATGGACTAACGTGTTTATATGGGAACAAGTATGAAACTGCGACCGCTCCGCTGCTGCCATTGTACTTATGCTCTTATAAATTAGACGGTTCTGTTACAAGGGACGCTTGAGTGAGGCAGCTAGGGTTTGGGGGACTAGAGGCATTAGCTATGGAGGGGGGGGGGAGAGGCGCATGGGAAGAGGACCAAGGCTTAGAAGGGAGAGGAGGAGATAGAAGGCCCTTGGCCTGTTCTACTATTGTTTAAGATTGAAAGGTTACATCGCCCCTGTATTTATAATCCTAGGAGACTTAGCCCCTAAGCAATCTAATCTTGTCCTCTCCTCCAAGCAAGCAAATCCAATCCTCCTAGATCTGGATTTCGGCGGCACAGCAAGAGGTCGCCCCCCCGCTGGTCGCGCCCCCTTCCTAGTGGCATGGTCAGCCCAGCCCTAGCCAGCCTGGGGCCCCTCCGGGGCCCTCCATTAGACGTGTGACATCTCTTCCCCCTTCTCCTGGCAGCGTGTCCTTGCGCTGTAGCTTCGCTTAATCGTTGATAGGGCTTGAGGAAGATGGCTGCTCCATTTCCCTTGTACGTGATATTCGGAGTGGGGATCTCTGGTTGAGGTGGATCTACTATTGGTGGAGAATTGTCGGGGTGAGCGAAGAACTTGTCAAACATTGTCTTCCAACAATTGGTCGTGTTGCGGATGTCGAGGTCCTCTTTGGAACGTGCATGCACGCTGTTGCTCAGGCGAGCGTCGTTGTCCATCAACTTGGTGGCGAGGCCGCTGTAGGTAAGTCTGGCGGCCACGCTGCTTGTTGCATGATCGCTGTGGGGTGCAGCGAGCAACAAGGGTATGGCAGCGTCGGGCAGCAGCGGGCTGCTGCTGGTGTTGCCGGCGAAGAACTTGTCGCCTAGTTTCGCCAATTGATCGAAGACGTTGTGGGCGCGGTCGATGATCATGGTGGTGGTGGCCATCGGATCGATCTGGTCTCTGGATACCAGTGTTAGAGCCCGGCAGGGAGAGGGGCCCTTGAGTGCTGCGGCTAGGGTATGGGGGACTAGAGGCGTCAGCTATGGAGGGGAGGGAGAGAGGCGCAGGGGAAGAGGACCGAGGCTTAGAAGGGAGAGGAGGGGATAGAAGGCCCTTGGCCCGTTCTACTATTGCTTAAGATTGAAAGGTTACAATGCACCTGTGTTTATAGTCCTGGGAGACTTAGCCCCTAAGCAAACTAGTCTTGTCCTCTCCTCCAAGCAAGCAAATCCTATCCTCCTGGATCTAGATGTCGGTGGCACGGCAGGAGGCCGCCCCTCCGCTGGGCGCCCCCTTCCTTGTGGCGCGGTCAGCCCAGCCCTAGCCTGCCTAGGGCCCCTCCTAGGCACTCCATTAGACGTATGACATCTCTTCCCCCTTCTCCTGGCAGCGCATCCTCACGCTGCGGCTTCGCTTGATTCTTGATAGGGCTTGAGGAAGACGGCTGCTCCAATTCCCTTGTACGTGATCTTCCAAGTGGGGATCTCTAGTTTAGGTGGATCTGCTATTGGTGGAGAATTGTCGGGGTGACCGAAGAACTCGTCAAACATTGTCTTCCAACAATTGGTCGTGTTGCGGATGTCGAGGTACTCTTTGGAACGTGCATGCACGCTGTTGCTCAGGCGAGCGTCGTTGTCCATCAACTTGGTGGCGAGGCCGCTGTAGGTAAGTCTGGCGGCCACGCTGCTTGTTGCATGATAGCTGTGGGGTGCAGCGAGCAACAAGGGTATGGCGGCGTCGGGCAGCAGCGGGCTGCTGCTGGTGTTGCCGGCGAAGAACTTGTCGCCCAGTTTCGCCAATTGATCGATGATGTTGTGGACGCGGTCGATGATCATGGTGGTGGTGGCCATCGGATCGATCTGGTCTCTGGATACCAGTGTTAGAGCCCGGCAGGGAGAGGGGCCCTTGAGTGCGGCGGCTAGGGTATGGGGGACTAGAGGCGTCAGCTATGGAGGGGAGGGAGAGAGGCATAGGGGAAGAGGACCGAGGCTTAGAAGGGAGAGGGGGGGATAGAAGGCCCTTGGCCTGTTTGCTTAAGATTGAAAGGTTACATCGCACCTGTGTTTATAGTCCTGGGAGACTTAGCCCCTAAGCAAACTAGTCTTGTCCTCTCCTCCAAGCAAGCAAATCCTATCCTCCCGGATCTAGATGTCGGTGGCACGGCGGGAGGCCGCCCCTCCGCTGGTCGCGCCCCCTTCCTTGTGGCACGGTCAGCCCAGCCCTAGCCTACCTGGGGCCCCTCCTAGGCACTCCATTAGACGTATGACATCTCTTCCCCCTTCTCCTGCCAGCGCATCCTCACGCTGTGGCTTCGCTTGATCGTTGATAGGGCTTGAGGAAGACGGCTGCTCCAATTCCCTTGTACGTGATCTTCCAAGTGGGGATCTCTAGTTTAGGTGGATCTGCTATTGGTGGAGAATTGTCGGGGTGACCGAAGAACTCGTCAAACATCGTCTTCCAACGATTGGTCGTGTTGCGAATGTCGAGGTCCTCTTTGGAACATGCATGCTCGTTGTTGCTTAGGCTAGTGTCGTTGTCCATTACCAAGGCTGGCGGCGACGCTGCTTGTTGCATGGTTGCTGTGGGGTGCAGCGGGCAACAAGGGTGCAGCGACGACGGGCAGCAGCGGGCTGCTGCTAGTGTAGCCGGCGAAGAACTTGTCATCCAGTTTCACCAATTGATCGATGATGTTGTGGGAACGGTCGATGATCATGGTGGTGGTGGCCATCGGATCGATCTGGTCTACGGATACCAGTGTTAGAGCATAGCAGGGAGAGGGGCCCTTGAGGGCGGCGGCTAGGGTTTGGGGGACTAAAGGCGTCAGCTATGGAGGGGAGGGAGAGAGGCGCAGGGGAAGAGGACCAAGGCTTAGAAGGGAGAGGAGAGGATAGAAGGCCCTTGGCCAGTTCTACTATTGCTTAAGATTGAAAGGTTACATCGCCCCTATATTTATAGTCCTGGGAGACGTAGCCCCTAAGCAATCTAATCTTGTCCTCTCCTCCATGCAAGAAAATCCTATCCTCCCGGATTTGGATGTCGGCGGCGCGGCGGGAGGTCACCCCTCCGCTGGTCATGCCCCCCTCTTAGTGGCGTGGTCAGCCCAGACCTAGCCGGCCTGCGCCCCCTCCTGGGCTCTCCATTAGACGTAGGACAAAGATTGTGTTATTTTCATTTCATGGAAGGCCATCAGTAAAGGATGCGTGTACTCATGCTTTTCAACTTACCTCTAGTAGATCATCTGCCTGATTTGCAATGTCACTAAGATTTTTTCCAGGAATCTGGCACTTATGACCTTTATCGTTCTTAAAAACACCTCCACCAGCAGCTACACGGCGCAACAATTCATGCCTGCTCTCTTTCTTTTCAGTCTGGCAAAGGAGTCCAACAACCTGGACCTGGTTTGTAAAATGTAACACCACCAGTCAGAAGACAAACACGCCCACATCCATACACACATATAAGCAGATAACACTGGGCACTTGAAACAACACTTACATGTGGAGGACATTTCTTTGTCAGATGGTCTAGCACTGTCTGCTTAATTACCTCAAGAAGAGACTTACGCTGCCATCATAAGACAAGCATGTAAAGCATGTAGAATAAGCCAAGGGGAAATATGCATATAGCAGGATTTAGTAAGCACTCCAGTCTGACAACAATGTCTCGAAGCATACATGGATTTTATGGCTATCACATCAACACAGCAATCTGAAAGGTCCCTTTGACTTATTCATCTTCTAATTAAAGTAACTAGTACTAACTTTAACATGAATAAATATAAACAACTTTGGACCCACTAGTAATAATATTTAATTTCTCTGTTACAGTTAAAGAAACATCGATATACCTTATTGGTATAAAAATATTTTTTTGCGAGGAGGTATAAAAATATATAGAATATGGCAAAGACAAAATACATAGCTGAATTTTGCTATTTAATAAAGATAGGCAAATGAGTGGATGACTGTTAGATATGTATATATATAGGGGTCTAATTGTAATTGTACTGAAGTCCTTGTGACTATATATATGAAAGCCGCCACCCAACCCAAGGGGTGTGAGGTACTCTGCTATCTCTCTACATCATCCTAGAAGCCCGGGTTCCTTTTCCGGCCGCTGCTCTAGTCCCTCCCACCCCTCTTCCTCTGTCTGTGTGCGAAGCCTCCTGCCCACGAACGGTCATCCTCTCCTCGCGCCGCTGCTCCTCTATCGTGCGACCACCTCCTCTCTCTCCTACGCGGACTTCTTCCCCCCTCCCTGGTCCCACGAGCTATTCGTGCGAGGCCATCTCCTGTGCGGGCTAACTTCTTCCCCCTCCCTGGTCCCACGCGTTGCTCACACACGGCCATCTCATGTGCGCGCTGACTCCTCCCCTCCCTAGTCCCACGCGCCCACATCTCCCTTGCGCAAGTGCGGCTCTATTGTGCTCCACGCCCACGTCTCCATCGCTCGCGCACGCGTGGCTGACGTGCGCCCCCCCTTCCCAACTGCTCCTTCCCTTCTGCTGTCCTCATGCGCCCAAGCACCATTCGTCCACTTGCGATAGTCTCTCCCATGCGGGAATCATGCCCTAGCCTTCCCAAATGGAGCCCACGTAGGCCGAGCGCAACCAGTGCACCATCAACAATATAGTGAGCACTCTCCTTCTCCATTCTTCCATGCCTTCGGCCTACCAGGCCAAAGCTCACACCACAGCCACCTATCTTCTTCATTGCCGCCCATGCTCCACCATACGCAATGAGATCCCCTTCTCTTGCCTCTACGGTTAGCAGCATGACTTGTCCCATCTTCATGTCTTTGTGTGCCTATGCAACCCAAACCTTAGTGCCACTTCTTCACATAAGCTCGCTCCATGGTCCGTTGCATGCGAATTCCTTGGCTACCCTTCTTCCCACAAAGGATATCGTTGCCTTGATCTCTCATCATGCCGCATCATCATTTCCGGCCATGTTGGGTTTGATGAGATGTTTCCCTTCTCCACTAACTTTGCAGGTTCATCTACCCTAGCTTTGCTCGACTTCCTCGTCGATGACAGCGACGCGGTCGCCCCACCGTTCATGGGTGCCATGCCTACTCAGCCCGGCAGGCGTGGCTGGCTCGTCTCCCCTAGACAACCCCATGGTGATCGTCTATGGTCGTCCCACTCCACTTACGCCACCAACACTGCCCTCGCCGCACCTCGGGGTCATTTTGGACGCGTCTATGTGCGGCGCGGTGCCCCACCATCACTGAACACTGCCGCCACGCTACCGGCACCTTTGGCACCACTGGCGGTCATGGCTCCAGGTGCGCCACTAGCGCCCCCAGTGCACCACCTACGCCTCCTATTGCTCCGGCAGCGGGACACCGAGATTCAGCCGGTCGACTACAGCAGCGCCTTCATCTCCACAGCCATCGCCTCGCCCCTGCCTGCCAACTACCGTAGTGCTCTGGCTGAGCCGCAATGGCGTGCAGCCATGACCGATGTGTATTGGCCACTCATCGATTTTGGAACCTAGCACCTCGTTCCCCGGCCTCCTCGCGCCAATGTCATCATCAGCAAGTGGATCCAATAAGTACCACGCCAACAGGTCACTTGCCATAAGGCTTGCTGGGTCATTTGTGGTTTCTCCCAGTAGCACAGCATGGACTACGATGAGACATTCAGCTCGGTTGTCAAACCGGCCACGATCCGCGTCGTCCTGAGCATCGTTGCCTCGTGGTCATGGCTAATTCACCAACTTGACATCAAGAATGTCTTTCTCCATGGCAGTCTTGAAGAGATCGTCTACTGCCAGTAGCCTCCTGGCTTTGTCGGTCCCTCTACACCTGATCATGTTTGTTTGTTGCAGAAGTCCTCTATAGCCTGAAGCAAGCTCCCCACGCGTGGCACCAGCGGTTTGCCATATCTTCGCCAACTCGACTTCATGCCAGTGATGCGTCTCTCTGTATTTATAAAGATCGAGACAACATCGCCTACTTGTTGCTCTACGTTGACGACATCGTCCTGATGGCCTCCTCACTTTACCTATGTCACAACACTGCGCGCCTCAGCTCGGAGTTCGCGATGACTGACCTAGGCACGCTCCATCACTTCTTCAGCATCTCCGTTACACACTGCACCGACGGATTGTTCCTCCTACAGCGCCAGTATGCTATTGAGCTTCTCCAGCGTGCTACCACGTCTGAGTGCCATCCCACCGCGATGCCTGTGGACTCCAAGTCCAAGCTCTCAGCTATAAATGCTGCCCTAGTCATCGACCCATACAAGTATGATAGCCTCACCGGGGTGCTACAATACCTTATTGCATGACCTGGCCTTTGCGGTCAAGCAGGTGTGCCTCTTCATGCATGACCTCCGAGAACCACGTCAAGGGCACTTTTTCTGTTGGTCTACACATTGGCACTGGTCATGTCTAGTCTCTCACATCAGATGTGGACTAGGTAGGGTGCCCCGACTCCCGCCACTCCACATCAAGCTACTATGTCTACCTCGGCGACAACTTGGTGTCATGGTCATCCAAGTGTCAGACCACTGTCTCACGCTCTAGTGCTGAAGCAGAGTACCGTGGCGTCACCCATGCCTTCGCCGAGTGCTGCTAGTTGCACCATCTTCTCCGGGAGCTCCATCTACCGCTACTCTCCACCACGGTTGTCTTTTATGACAACATATACATGACAGCTCACCCCACTCATCACTGCCAGACCAAGCACATCGAGATCGACATTCACTTCGTCCGCGAGAAGGTCACCCTTGGTGAAGTTCATGTTCTCCATGTGTCGTCCTCACATCAGTTCACAAATATCATGACTAAGGGCCTGCCTGTACAGTTATTTATTGATTTTCGGTCTAGTCTATGCGTATGTGAACCTCCCGCTACTACGGTGGGGGTGTTAGATATGTATATATTTAGGGATCTAATTGTAATTGTACTGAAGTCCTTGTGACTATATATATGAAAGCCTAACCAAAGGGGTGTGAGGTGTTCTGCTATCTCTCTACAATGACGCGTAGTGAAGAATAAATAATGTGTTGCAAACAAGTACTTTGGCTGAGTTAGGCAGTGACTCTATCAGGTACCTCATCATCTGCGTCCTTCTGTGCAAGTTGTATCATGTAATCAAGTTCCATAAGGAAGCCTGACTCCATGTCGTCGACTCTCTTCCCAATAACTCCCTGTGCCACCAGCTCCACAGCAACGGGCTCAAATGCACCATCCATCTCCATGTCCAACATCTACAAACACCAACGACCAACCACATACAAGAACAATATCAATAATACAATTATAAGGTATAACCATTTAGTTAGACCACATGAATAGCAGTTATATTCTGCAACTACATGAGATTAACACTTTAGCACATTCGGCATTCAAGACCCCCCATAATAGTTCTTGGACAATTTTAGTGTTAAATATAATCTAGAACAAACTAATAAGCCGAGAAAGAAAATGAAGGATAAATTGACTGTAGCAATGGGCTAAGCTTTCACAACTCTTTGCCAATTAGTCCAGGAGGACCAAACTCCATTAGCATTAGCATACTATCTGGCCACGAAACAAACTAGTGGAACAGTTCATTGCGGAACAGCTTAACCTTTTCGTAATATAAATAACGACCTAATAAGATTAGAAATCCAAGAAACTAATCAATTCTATGAAGTACTGTGTTCATTTCATAAATTCATACTAGTAATGGCCATCAGTGATTCAGTGAAGCAACCCAAGAAACGGTGGTAGGGCATCCTGACCAGCGTGAGCATCTCCTGCAGCACGGAGGCGACCTGCTCCCCAACGCACAGGAGGGCGTCGCACTCGGCAGGGTCCCACTTGCTAGAGTTGTCTCCGAGGGAGGCCAGCAAGGCGATGGGGAGGGGCACTTTGGGCGCCGCTGCGTGGCATGTGAGGGTGCAGCGCGAGGGGACCCGTGGAGTTAGTTGGATGAGGGCCTCCATGGGAAGGCGACGACGGTGCAGGCAAGCGACCGGTCAGGGGAGAGAAATATGGACTCTTCGAAATGAAGGGGCCGTTTGGTAGCCCTCCCGGACCGGCTCCGGGAGCTGTTTTACGGCTCCAACTACCAAACGGGTCCAAGGACAGCAGCTCCACGGCAGATGTCCCGTAAATTGCGCTGAGAGCGGAGATGAGGGATGGGTGTGGTCGTCCGAGGAGCTGCGAAGGGTGGGGAGATGCAGAGGCGGGTGGAGAGCGGCCAAGGCGCGGGGAGGTGGAGGTGGCGGCATGGGTGGGGAGATGCGGGGGCAGGGCGACGACGCGGCCGTGGAGGCGTAAGGAGCCATGGCCGCGGTGCGGTGTGGCGCGAGGAAGCAGATGCGGTGTCGCGGGAAGATGAACATGGTGTGTGAGATATCCGTGTGCAGTGGTGCGTGCTGCGTGCATTTGTGATAACTAGTACCGTGCCCGTGCTACACCTGAAAATAACCAGAGGACCATATTTTTTCCCTGAAAACAATCAAAGTGATAGGAAGCTGAGTGCAGCACCACTTTTTCTCGTGTAAAAGAACACAATTGCGAGGTTGCAGTTGAACAATTAGGACAGCTTTCCTGACATCACGAACCATTAGTTCTCGTGGCATGATGGATGATTTCAGAGTAGAATAACAGGGAATCACGTCACAGACATACAAATGCATGTGTCCCAAGAACACGTCAAAACTACACTAAACATTTGACGACCTATGATAATTCCCAGCAACTATTTCAGCCTTTAACATAGTCTCCCAGCTAGCTCAGATATCTTCTGTTGATTCCGTCGATGGAGACAAAGACCAAGCTTATTTGTTCTGACCCGTCTTCTGTATGGTTCTTGGAGCTGCAGGCAAATGGACATAGTTCAGAACCATACAAGAAGTATTATAGCTAAATGGAACAATTCACCAAATTACAGATTCCAAACTGAAGTTTAAGATTCAGGCACGAAAACAGGAACTGTTAGCTGCAATTAATATAATCACCTTATTATTCCGTTATTTTGTGCTCTGTTATCAGCCAAGAGAAATGATTTATGCATACAAGCTACAATCCGTTTGCAGCAAGGATACAGTTGCAAGTTGCAGCTAGCTAATACTGAATACTTTGCCTAACTTATTTGCAATGCTAGTATATGCAAAAAAATGAGAAATATATCCATTGCATATAGTATATAAGTTAACTGCAGACATCAGTGCTTGGGAATTAATAAATTAATCTGGAAAGGCTGTAACATATGCACATCAAACATGCAGAATTTCTATATCTATTGTTACACATTATACATACCTATTCAAAGAGCATCAGAGCCTCTCATGATTTTTATCTTTTGATAGATAGAGGTAGAATAACTGCAAAGCAACAAATAAGGTTAGCATTTGCATCTTGATTTTGAGCAAAAATGTTGACATCAATTCCATCACAGTTGAGGAAGCGCTCATACGTGTGCTGTTTTTTATTTCGGCTATAAGCAGTGCGCTCTGCTTTCTGATCTGCCATGTCTTTTTTTCATTATTTTGGCAGCCAGCAACATGCAAATACAATGATTAACATAACCACATTATAGGTTACCATTATTTCCCATGACTTTTTTTTATGTAAAACCAGTGATATTAACACTCTTGCATACTGAAAGGAAAATCTCAGGTGAAAAAATGCCACTTACTATCAGTCCATTAGCATTGAGAGTTGGGCATTGCCACTTGCTATCAAATCGAAGTTAAAGAGAGGCATAGACACTTGCCATCAGTCCATTAGCATTCAAAGCTAGGCATTGCCCACAAGGCTTCACAGCTTTGCCTAGATGGACTTAAATATCAACAGCATAGGATTTGGCCTGACCAGACAGCAATCATGTCTCAAACCAACTCAACAATGAACCCAATTTTATGTCTCATTCGGGTAAGTGTAGGGTCGAGATGGCGGACTAGAGGGGGGCGAATTGTCCTTTCTAAAACTTAATCACGCCGGCTAACCGACACAAGTGTGGAATTAAAACTATGGGTCTAGCCAACACTACACCCCTTTATCTAAGTTACCAAGAACCTTGAAAAGATCCTACACAAGCAAGTAATGTGCCAGGCTAGCTAGAGCTCACCTAACCAATCTAGCTTGCATGGTCACACAAACCTATGCAACTAGTATTTCACACAACCGAGCGAGCTCCTACATAATCTAGTAAGCAAAAGCATAAAGCCACCTAAGCTTACTAGCAATGCTCAATAACAAGGCTACACAAGCCAAATTATAGAGCGCAAATTACTTAGCTACACAAACTAAGCAATGTGACTAACAAAGTTACTAAAACTAAATTAGCCACTCAAGGGAGCTACTTCTTATGCTACACAAGCAACAAGGCAACTAGCAAGCTACTAAAGCTAAACTAGTCACAAGAGCAACTACACAAGCACAATGTAATATGAAAGTAATGCAAGCTTGTGTTTCGCGGAATGCAAACCACCGAGAAGATGACGAAGATAATGTTGACATGGTGATTTTCTCCCGAGTTTCACTTGGTTGCCACCAAGCTTCATCCCCATTGTGTCGACCGCTCACTTGGTGGTTCGACGGCTAATTGGCATCACCCGCCAAGCCCGCACATCGGGCCGCAAGAACCTACCCTGAAAGTGAGGGTAGCTCAATGACACGCTCAACTAGAGTTGCTCTTTGCGATCCCCTTAGGGTGAGCACAATCTCCCTCACAAATCCTCCTCTAGAGCACCACACAATCTTCTCGCGTGCTTCAACGGAGTCACAAGCCACCAAGCCATCTAGGAGGTGGCAACCTTCAAGAGTAACAAGCACCATGTTGACGGTTGTTAACATCAATCATAAACCGTCAATATATCCTGTATATATACTTAATTCCATCACCAAACATAGGTCTAGGGGTTCAAACTAACAAATTCCACGAGTTTTGATTAATCTGTGATTTCTACAGGGTTTATCCAGAAAACCATCAAGGTGGACTTAGATGTCAGATTTAATCACGCTTATCCACAGCGAAAACAACCCCAGAAGGTTCTAGAAGACTCGAGAAGACACCACACCAAAGCGGAGGGCGAGGCGCCGCCAGGTGGGGCCGACCGGCCCCACCTATAGGCCGATCAGCTCCTAGGGCCCACCTATCAATCCCCCGTTGTTATGTCGTTTCTCCACCGCCTTAAGGATTGCATCTCCGCTGTTCTTTCAAGTTGGTTTGATCCGAGGGTCTAGAATTGATGCTCCGGCCTATAAATAGCAGCCCCTACCCCACTCCATGGAGGCATCAATAAAACCCTAATTCATATCCCTCATTCAGATCAGCACACATCAGGAGGATTAGGTCTGGAGCTCTCCAATGTAGTAGATTAGTAGCTCAGGAATGAGGGTCGAGTTGGACGCATTCTCAAGTTCCTAATCTGGTCTTGGAGGCTAGGCAAAGCCTTATATCTTCACTTCTATATCTTGTAAGACTTATTATCAATTTATCATATTCCTATCGACATGGCTACGATTACTTTGAATAAATATCTTGCTTATTTATGGTTATCATTACTTTTGTGTGCGGGTTCATAGAGCGTTTAGCATGCTAGTTTACAAGTTAGGTTGAGTAGCCGAGGCTCGTGTAAGCATGGTGCTTATACGATGCTCTGCCTCTGAGTGCACCCTGTTCTCTGGTTGGGTGGTAGCAGCGGGAGGTGACAGCCCTATGTATCCTTTGTAGTCCACTTTGAATTGAGCAGGTTCTTAAATTATAGGACCGTAGTCGCGTCAGTAGAGTTATCTAATGTGGGTGCTCTACTGTCTAAGCGGTGTCCCAAAGAGCACAAGAGTAGAGTTAGTCTTAGCTATAGTTGGATGTATATATACTTTGATTATGTCATAGGAATATCATAGGAATCTACCTCACCTGTTGTTCTCCCGAGTTGACTAGTTTATATTATCTTAGTGATCTATCCCCTGAGTGTCATTATGCTTTATTCCTATTATTACATTCACCCCTGCTTTAGCTATGCTGGTATGTTGATTAGTAGACATTCCTTTGTTATCCAATAAATCTTTACTCCATTATTTCCTTGTGGTAAAATATAAATAATGATACCTAGAATACTTCCGATAAAATGCTATAATGGTATTCTGTGCACTTGCGGAATCCTTCATATTCTATTTGCACTTAATAAATACTAACCAACATTTTTGGCGCCGTTGCTGGGGAAACAATTGGTGTAAAGATTTAGATCATTAACATACCACTTGGTTTAGTAGGATTACCTCTTTTCTATTGAATTGTGGAATAAGACATGACAGCAAACGCCGTTTCGACCTTCTAGAGCTTCCACAAGAAAAGAAGAAACATTGAAGAACCCTAGGGTGCCTGAACATTCAAGATCCATCAACACTGGAACCCTGCCATCTCACAGGCTTGTATAGAGATATATATATATATATATATATATATATATATATATATATTCTCTAACCATGTGTAGATTGGAGAAAAAGGTCGATGTCACAAGAATTCAAGTCACATCTCAAGTGATGGAAACAGATGCTGCACCACTCACAAATTCCATTATGTGAGTCATGGTAAGTATGATCAAGAAAGTTGAGATAGTCTTGCTCATGGACTTTAAACTTAATGAGTAGTCATCTTTTAATTTTTGTATTCCACTGCATGTTTACTTTAAATAATCTATGCATCCATCTCGTTTAGTTTAAATTTTCTCATATCAAATCCACAGAATGTTTAGTTCCATTCATATATCCATCCCACTTGCATCTTTAATAAAAATAATATCTCACCATGATCACGCTCTTTCATCTCTAAATTTAATACATCTCTATAGTATTTTCAAGCTACCTTTGTTTACTATAGTATGCTTAAGGTTTGGAGTGTGCTCATACATCTTTAAAATTAAGCATGGTGCTTAGATTAGGAGTGTTGATTTTACTACCAAAGGCTTTTTAAATTAAGCATGGTGCT